GTGTTCTGTATTTGTCTAGATCAGATTACTTCCTCCAATTCTCAAGCTTTTTAGACCAGGCTTCACCTAACCAATCGTACACTTCAGTTGGGCATCCCTGATCAGAAGGATCAGTGACTGGTGATGCATCCCCTTCCAACTTGAGTCTGTTGCTGTGGCCAAGATGTAACCAGGAAAAAAAGGTGGGAGAATAAAAATAGTCACACTTTCACATGGACTGTACAGGCAATAAAACGTCATGCAACTACAGGCTTAGTTAAAAGTTACATCCCTGGAGAGACTACCTCCATATTTAACACAAGAGTGGCCATGTTAGCTCAGATATATGTCAATTTAGCCCAGAAACTTGTCTGCAAGAGTATGTGAACAAACAGGACAAGCACATATTTTCCTGAATATTCTCCCAACCTTAATTACATTTTGTCCAAGAACTTCCCAAGCAATTTACCATTAGAATCTGACAGATGGATGCTGATTCAGCTGATATCATCATACTCTTACACAGTTCTGTGTGTACTTTTGCCCTATTTTCAATGAGTTCTTAAGATTAAATGATTAATTCCTATCAGTAATAGTAATGTCATGTCCTGCTCCTCACCGTGTCAGAGCTATACATTGACATTTTAGAATGAACCACTGATGTATTTTGTGAAATAAGGATAAAAATCAACTTGGGTGTTTCCCATACAAAAAATAGGAGGAAGAAACGAAGGTTCAGAACCAGAGGAACCATATCAGGTCTCAGATTCGTGGAACACATGGCCAAAGGCTGTTTTAAGTGTGCTGAGGTTTTTAAATGTCTGCAAGCCATGTCCAGCGTTGGAAATCCACGAGCTGCAAATGTTTTGAGGCCACAGGAAAACTGGAAAGCACTACCAAATAGAACATGGCAAATTTATATTCCTCAGGCATCTGCTTTTGGTCACTGCTAGCTTCTTCAGTGGTCTTCCCCTAGCTCCCTGTCCCTCTCAGTTTTACAGGTATCTAACACAACTCCCTTCAGTCATCCTTCTTGCAAAATGAAGAATTCTTACTTGGCTATCGCTCATGCCAAACCTGATTCCTTCCTTTCATCATCCATTTTATCCTCGCACAACCTTTTGAGTGCTACAATCTTTTTAACATGTAAGAAACAAAACATGCAGTATTCAAGATACATGCAAATCACTGATTTATACAGCGGAATAATTACTTTTATCCTTTTTGTTCCATACACTTTTCCTAATAATGCCTAAAATTCAGTTTGCCTTTTTAGCTGCTAGCACACACTTCAAACCAATAGATAATTTTTCTGGATTATAACTGCTCAGTAGAAATGGGTATTTTTTATATATGACATTAGGATTGTTTTTCTATTAAGCTCATCTTATTATGTATATCTACCCAGTTTCATCACCCTGCTCTTACTAACCTGAATAATTTGTTATCATTGCCTCCACATTGCTCAATGCTTATACCCTTTTACACCTTTTTTATAAAAAATTTAAAAATCCTTCCATCTGCGAAAAGAAAATAATGGCAACCCTTTTAGGGGAAGTGGTCTGTAATGCTACAGAGGTGTGGGAGACAACTATAGAATGGGACCGCTCCCAAATGTTTCTCTTTCCTCCAGTATCTCTAGCAGTGGGAAAGCTCTATTAAACCAGAGCCATATATATAAACATATATAGGATCAGAAGTGGGGATAGACAATTCTGCACATGAACAAGAGAGAGAAGCAAACCTACCATCTGAGGATTTTTCAGACAGGGGTATTAGTGACAAATTTTTCTAACTCATTTATGCAACAGGTTCATGCATAATAGAGCATTTTTCTTCCACTGGACATACCTTATTACTGCTCTTATAATGCTGACATTTAGGATAGTTAGTCCAGATGGGTATAACTAAACTTATTTGGAGTTATTTCTGGAAACAAGATATACTAGTAGAAAATGTGATTTAGAAAAAACCGCTTCCCACATGGGCTCTGGAAAAGCTAGTTAACTAATGTGTGCTCAAGGTTTAAAAGTATTAAGAACTTGAAATCACCAAGTATTATAAAATCTCTCCGATCTCAAAAGGCCAAGTTTTATATGATTCATATTGATTTGAAATGAACTAAGGTCAGAACACGTTGGATCACCTTACAGGAAATAGCACAGAACTGGAGAGAAAGATACACTGAATAGGACAAAGATCAGATAAAAATGAATTAATGGAGCCAGAAGTAGGTAAAGGGCTAACCCCTACCCCTGTGCCAAAGTTAGCAAATGTAAAGACAATGTGTTAAGTCTATTCTACTCCCCTCTCCTCAACTCTCCTGGCAAGAGCCACCAAACAGCCAAAACCAGTAGAGAACTCAAGGCCTAACCAAAACGGGAATTCTCTCTGAGAACATCCTATCCTGCCAAGTAATTCTCAACAAGTTCTGCTCAATTTACAAGAGTATCCTTCCACAGAAATACTGGGCTGGCTTTGACAGCTCAGAAAACAGAGATATGAATACTACCTTTTCACAAACAAGGGCACAAAGCACAGCACTGTGAAACCAGCTATTTGAAAACATGGAACACAGGCAAGTGAAAAAGTTTATTTAAGAGGGTATAACCACACACACAAAACACTCAAGATTTGCTTCCAAGACCAGATTAAGATGAAGATTTGGAGTAACTGACTGTGTGCGCATGTGATTAATTTGGGCATTAAATCTGTCTGCCTTCATCAGGTATAATCCATTTGTGTGGCACATGAACTTGGAAGTGTATGATTTACAGCACACAAATTCATCATAAATCACTCCATAACCATTCTCTACTCAAAAGACTAAAAAGAAAACTGTTTATTTCAAATTTCAGGTAACCAGCTATTTTTTCATAATAGCTTATTACAAACTGTTACACAGTTTACTTTTTTCAGTTTCACAAAATTATGTTAAAGCAGTCCACATTATCCAAGATCTTTTTTGGAACGTACAAGGCAATTTAAAGTAAAAAGCAAGTGCTCACATGACCAAAAGAGATTATTCCAAAATTAGTCCACTATAACAAAAATGACCACTGAAATCTAGTCTGAGTGAACGACACACCTCTAATGAAAAGCAGTCACAGTGCCAGGATACGTACTGCAACAGCAGGCATTGGCAAAAGATGCTACACTTTTGAAACTTGTCCGGGACCTGGAATTTCCCCTTTAAGGTGACTGTTAGGGTTATCATCACTATCTCTGTCTCTGTGACCCCTAAATCCTTCGTATGATTGAGGGTCTTCTATCAAATCAAGAGGAGTAATTAAAATATTCCTCATGCTACTCTAGTTTATAGTTAGACTTTCCCTTGCAATGTGGGCAACACAAATCCGAACCTTTCAGGCAGAGGATCATGCATCTTCCATATCGTCAAACAGGGGATTGTAAATACACTCCAGGGCTCTTATTCTTCATATTCTTCCTATATGCCCAATGTAAGATTATACCACATTTTTCTAAACAAGAATTTGTCAAAGTGAAAACACTTATATATCAGCTACCATTTTTTCCTGCTCATTACCAACACTCATACGAAAGTGTTTCTACATTTATTTTTGATAGATGTAGAAATTTTGGGTAGAGACCCAAGGTATATGCAGCACATTCAGCAAGCAGCTGAAACATTAGAAGAGTTCTTAATTCAAACAGTAAGCTACAAACAGTACTGCCACACATATTTCTATTATAATTGCACTTACTCATATTTTTGCTTTCTCTAACGTAAAAGGAATGGGAATCAAGTTAATCACAGTCACCTTGTTTAAAGCTATCTATTCACAGGAAACTGTTCTTGAAATCAAAGTCCGCAAGTTACTTGACGATGACAAGGTGAGGTAACTAAACACTTGGCCAATTCTATATGACATTATCAAACCTGAATTATTCATCCAGTCTGGACTTCTGAAGCTTTACCACATAGTCTATACAACTAAAATAACTCACCTACCTATACCAAAGTCCATAGTTCTGTCCAAAATGTGGTGCCCCTGTTATCCAGCACAGAACCCTAAAACCTCACTGAAAGGAAATACTTAAATGATAACTTAGAGCTGATCAGTACAGTAAACTATTCACCTGTTAACCTTGCTGCTGTAGATAGGTAGTAAAAAAATTTCATTTGCTTTGTACAAGGATGTAAACACAAAGTTAATCAGAAGGCAATATATCAGCCGATATTATATTGGGAGTGTCCATTTAGCAGAGACACAAAACGACAAGCCATTATTATTCACCCCAGTAGTAACTGCCTGTGTACCACCGGTATTTTTTATTTTTTAAGTGTAACCCAAGGCAGAACTTTACTCACAGATAAATACTAGGATTGAAAACTGATGCATATTTTTAGTGTCAGTTCTACAAGTTTTTACAGATACTGAGTTCTTTAAATCAAGACATGGTAAAAATTATATTTTCCATAAATACAAGCATACATGTACACCAACTTTAAATTAACATGCTAAAAATAGACTGTATATATATTATATAAACCCACAATCAACAACAACTTTTTTTTTTTTTTAAACAGCAGTACTTTTCCATACAATAAACATGAAAGGCGTTTTTGGTTTTGTGGGGTTGGTATTTTTTTTTCCACTCATTAGTGGTTGTAATAAAGCCTTCATAGAAAGAAACCGAGTTTCTGCAAAGGGAAGATCTCAAAGTTAACAGGAAATTGATTGGCTAAGCATTTGAGTATGTTAATTTAAGCACTGTAATAAAACCCAATATAAACAGATTCAAAGATAAGAGGCACAATTCCAAATACCATTTAAATATTTATGACCTTAAAACTGAACACATGCTTAAGTGCTTTTCTTAACTAACACTAATACTAACTGGTTTTACAGTAACTGCACTGTCTTTTAAAACTATAGGAAGAAGTTTGATAGTTATTTTACACCTGACCTCTCCAGCATATGCTAAATCTTTTCCTTACTAAGGATGAATCCTGTAAAAAGCAAACACACAACTGCACCATCATGTTGACATTTCATAGAGGAAATATAAAACAAATAAGCAAAACTGACAGCATTTTTTTTTTTTAAGTCTGAATTACAAAACCTCAAGTTGTGCAAAATCATTGATCCCTGAAAATATTCAGATTATGGAATAAAAGACACATCATTCCTGTAGGAAGAGTAGATTTATAGGACACTACCTTTTGTAGAATTCCTTCCATTGCACTTAAATGGCTTTTAAAATAATCATGAATATGATCATCGTTATCAGCATATGATTGTGAATATCAGCACTTAATCAAAGTGGGACTTTAATTAGAAACATCTTTTTAACGCTACTGCAATGTAAAACTTGAAAGATAAGCCATCCTTTGGGACGCTTACTGAGAGAGGAAGAGGAGAAGAAGAAAAGCAGGATTGACCAGCTGTATTACTCTTTTTTCATTAGTCCCTTACTTCCTCTCCTGCTGTTCTCATTTCCCCCCCATTTCCTTTCCTGCTGAACTAATTTCTTCCTTTTGCTTTCTTGCAGAGTTCACTTTTTCTAACAACAGGAATATGTGTTCCGCAAACTCCCGGACAGCTCCACAGCCACCATTGCTTTTACAAATATAACCAGCAGCCTTCTGAGCAAGTGCACAAGCATCAGCAGGCACACCACTCATGCCAGCTTTCTTCAGGCATTCCACATCAGACTCTTCATTTCCTATTGAGAAATATGACAGACAAGGCAAAATGTCACAGAGGGGAAAAACTGAGCAAACTCAGTATTTTTCTGCATACATGTTAATCTATTTTTTTTTAAATTTGTATTCTTGCCACAATTTTCATCTCAGCAGCACTTTGCACATGTGAGTCGGTTCTTGGAAAATCTTAATGATACATATAAACACTGATCATGTCACACACTCTTCAGGCAAGAGAATAGTACTTTTAAGAGTAATAAAATTATTTGAGCAACTGAATAAGCATTTGCAGGACTATATACTTAAGCTGTCACTGAAATACAGTTTTGTACAGGATCATATGGCTTTCAGTTTTAATTCTGTCCATTTCTTGTTTCCATTTCAGAATGTAATCTACACAATATTCATCTGAAATGAACTAGAATCAGTTCAGAATTGTGAGCTGTAACTGTGTGCTTACACAATACCAAAAGCTTTCCTAAATCTCACTATAAAAATAGCTAAGACTTCCCTTACCAAATTAGACACCGATTCATCAATGCCTTCAATATTTAGACTGTACCCTAACAAGCCTTAAAATATGTAGCTGCTTTTGGTGATTGTGTGCTGTAATTTGCACGTCAATCCCATTAAGTTTGTGTATTAACAAACAGCAAAGTGTTTTGGAGCTGAGCAGCATTATGAAGTTTGTATTTGTGTATACTATATGAAATTTTACTACCAAAGGAAAAAAAAAAACCAAACGAACAAGAACAGACCTAAGTAAGCGACTTCTTTCCAGCTCAAACCCATGTCTTTTTGCCAGTCCTCCAGGACTTGTAATTTATTTGTTGCGCTAACTTTTGCTATACATCCCAGCTGCATGGCTGACAGTGTTTTTGAACAATCTCTTTCAGAGATCAGTCGAACCTATTAAAATATAGGCAAGTCAGAGTAAATTCTACACACAAAGAAATACGACATGTAAGTTGATTTATTAAAAAAACAATGGAAGTTTTGCTCATAGAAGCTCTCACAGATGTCAGAAAAGCATTGAATAACTGGTTTCTTCAATCAAAAGTCAGAGCAGAAGTGATTAGCATCTGAAACCCCATTACAGTCTTCAAGTTGCTTTGGGAAAGTGAAACACCATTCTGTAGGCTTCCCTGAGCTTCAGAAAAAGAAATTTACATTTGTCTTTTTAAATGCAACATGTACCAAATAAAATACTGGATATCACAGTACAGTGGCATGCTGACTATCTAGTGCAATATCATCTCATTAAGCCACAGTAGGGAATAAGAGAATTCCCAAGGAAGATTTCTGAAGTATTTGTAGCAGTAGATTATTATGAAGTATTTTCCTTGACTCCTCTACGTACTAACATCATTTTATTTACAGTAGGACTTCAGAGCATCAACAGAATACTAAACAGACTGAAATAGCACAGCACATTAATCTTTGGAAGTTAATTCTAAATTTGAAATTTCAGAAATTATGTACAAGGTAAGCTAAAACCAGATTATTGCAGCAGGATTTTTAAAAATCTCAGACACTACCCCTCCAAGTTTTCTGTCCAAGCTGTAGACAAGCTTATCTTCCCTAACTGCTTTTAAATACTGACAAATACTTGGCACTGATTTTAAATACAGAATTAATAGGAGTGGTGCACAAAGCAAGAGTACTTCAGCAACATATATTAGAAATACTTGAAGTGCAGCACAAAGACCAGGAGGTTTTTAATGAAAGATTCCAAGTCACAGCAAGTATGGAAATGAGATCCCACAGGCAAGAAAACAATTATTACAAGCTTCCTCCCCCTTTTGGCTCACAGAAAATGAAGCTGAGGGAGTTTTGAAAACCCATCTACTCCATTTCACTGCCCCAAGGCAGCAACAGTTGCATCAAAGTATGTCATAAATGTCTCATCTAACCTGTTATAAAAAAGTCCTACAATAGAGACTCCAAAAATGTACCTGGAGAAGTCTACCTGGGGTATAGCTACCTTTGCCTTATCCGTGCCTATCTCTATTTGCAACAGAATTGAGTTAAGGCTCTTTGAAGGCAGCCTAAATCTGTACTTAGTTCTTACCCCCCAAAAATACTTCTAGCTGTATCAAAGGCAGCAGCACAAACAGAAAATAGCCAGAAGGCTAATTTTACATAAATGCAGGCAAAGATTCAGATCAGCAGAATTTACTAGCAGTAATAATAATCAATAATGCTAATAATGAAAGTAGCCATGTTACAATCTGTGTTGTTTCAGTCTTTCATTTACACTGAATTCTTACAACTTCAAAGCACATAAGTTATGGTTAAAACAACTATGCAGACAAAAGTGTTTGGGGTTTGATTTCACCTCTTTGTAACAATCATGGGTGAGCTAGGATGAACCAACTAATTTGCCTGGTTATTTCTTCCTCTTCTATAGCCAAGAGGTGACAACATATCCCTACTTGGTAAAGCTGACTTCTAAATAATGAGTGTCTAGAGTACACAGAACAATATGATTGGTGCTAGCAAAACACCATAAAATTTCTTCCCACATTTTTCCAGGACAAAAAAAGAAAGATGCTATAGCTACTGTGAATGATTGAGAACTTTCTCAAACCACTTTTATTTTCCTCTAAGGGATCCAAGAACAACCTTTGTCCCAACCCTGAACCAATGTATTATGCTGCTTGATCACAAGTAGTCTGAAGAAACTTCAACTTACATGCAGCAGAGTTTTAGGATCTTTTAGTGTTCAGATTACATCAGATATAAAGCCTCACATTTCAGAGCAACACTTACCTGGATTCCTCTTTTCTTTAATAGATCAATACCAACAATATCTCTATAATCGTAGGAGACCATTTCCTTCTGATCTTCTGTCACATAAATGCGACCATTTGTCAGGCATCCATCAATACTGCAAACCAGTAGCTTCACTTCTTTTAATGGCTCTTTGCCAAAATATCCAAAGCTAGACAAAGAAGTTATCTTTTTAGGATGGAGGTTTTTGCACACTCCAAAACCAAGTATTTCAAATACAATTGTGATCTTCAGACAGAAGAATCAGCTTTGAAATTCTTTTTTTCTAATGTCTTTTCTCCTCATCGTCACTCTCCAACTATATTCTCCCTCTTCAAAGAAAAAAACCAGAACAATCCAAAAGACAGCTCAGTTATGTTGTCCATTTAAAAATTAGGATGAGATTTATTTCCTTACGATAAGAGGTTATGTTCTGTAGCATTTATCTGGGACAAAACTAAAACGACTGAAGGATGAGAAAGGCACAGAAAACATATTTCATTCCCACCCATTATTTCCTTAGAGAGGTGCAGAGCAGCTGCAAAGAAAAGGCAGATGGCAAGATGTAATCAGTTCATGCCTTCTACATGAACACTCTCAGTCATGTGCATCAGTAAATGTGGTCCAGACAATGGAAGCCTAGGACAACTCAGCTGGAAAAGCCAGAGATGTTGCTAACACATTGCTATGGTATAGTGGGGCTTACACTTTCCACAAGCTGGACTTTAAAAAAAAACAACCCCAAAATCAAAAAAACCATACAGCAAAGATAATTCAAATGATTTCAACAGAGATAGGAAAAAAATGATGGGCGGAAATAAAGTTGTCCAATTGTCTTTGATCCTGATTACTTACATTAGATACATTATGAATTCACATGACCGTACTCTGAAACAATAAGCGATATCAAAGAAATAAAGGAATAAGAAGTGCTTTTACCTCAATACTCTCTGCTCTGCAATAGGCCAATCAATGTCTATATCAATATCCACACTGTGCTCTGCCCGCATTTCATAGTAGGCCATTTTACCACCCTAAATGAAATAGAACCCATTAAAATTTTCTGCTTGGGTTAATACAAATAAAAACCTGTACAGTTCAGTACAATGCAATGAAAGTTAAGTATCTGGTTAAGCAGCGGTCACAATAACTTTATATAAAGTGAACTGTCAATAATGATGTTTTTGCCAGTGTCACAGAACCAAGCACTTGAAGGAACTTTCTATAGGCAATGGTTAATAAGTATTTTCATTTTACAACTAGAGAAAGTGTGTAAGAAAGATGTTATGCATTATAGTCATTACGTCACATTAATTTCACTAGGTCTTTTAATACAGTAAAATAGTAATACCTTTAGCATTTACTTAGTAATAGTGTGCTTATTTTTTGTTTGCTATCTACACAAAGACTTAATTTCAATTGGAAAAATATCCACCATACCCCAATGTAATTAAAAAAACCTAAAAGCCCTGATCCTCAGAGAGTTAGTGGCCCAACCTTCATGAAATGTAGAATTCAACACAACTGTGCTATCCAAATCAATGCTTGCAAGTGCATACAGCACTAGCTGGCACTGCATAGGTCTGTGCAAATTATAGAAACCTAAAGCTAGTATCTCTGCATTAGTAAGGTATCTGGAAAAGACAGAAGTAAGAACCTGGTATTCTTGAGATACCTAGTACGGTATTCACTTAGCCTACCTTAGAAATATGGAAATATCTACATTGGGCTTTTTTCAGTTCTGCTGACAAATACTGGAAACGATCTGTAAGATGGAGAACTTGTCTTGCACGAGAAAACTGAGACTATACTTGTAGACAAACAAAATGAAAGCCGAAGTAAATACATTTGTTCTGCATTACTATACTGGGACGTAAACATCAGGAAAGGGAAAAAGACTGTTTAAGTTACAGTACAAAACTGGCGTAAGACTAAACTGGCCAAGAATACAAGTTTATAGATTAGATGAGAAGCCTATGACACTGCATGAAGGTCAGTTTCACACCCTTACGAACACTAAAATGAATTATAAGACATGCACTTACATTCTGGCAAACTGACGTGAAACTCAATATTGTATTGGTTTAGGCTCATAGCTATATACTGCTCAATATTATTTGTATAAATTTGTTTGCTGTGTAGGATGTTGTTACTGAAACCGCCCTAGCTACAGCTAGCTCTGTTAAATTAGAAATAAGCAAACTGTCCTTAGCTCAAAGTGCTGTTACTTCATACTGTCTACATCAGAAATAGAAATACATTATTGAATTTAGAACACTCTATAACAAGAGTAAAAGATGTATTATTCTAACGAGCATGAAAAACAGAAGCACTAACCTGCAAATAGCCCTTCTCAATCAAATGTCTCTTGGCAAAATAAAATGAGCCATTTTCATACAGCTCCCCAGGCCAATCTTGCCTCCGGTACCGTTTTGCTGGATTCAGGTTTTGGGGCTCTGTCATTTTGTTTTCTGTTACAGAGAAAAATGACAAAATAAGTTTTCCAGAATCCCTGTTCAGAGTCACTTAACTTCCTTTAAATAGCTTTCTGCTGAAAAATTAAAAACACAAATCAGTCACCAACTTCTTTTGTTATTGCCTATCATTGCTTAGCTTTATAAAGAATCACTGAATCGTTTCTTTTTCTTGGACTGTCAATAACTGGAGGACTGCCCTGCATTTTTAGCAGAGGAAAAAGAAATTTTTTTCATTTCAACTTAAAAAAAACCCAAACGAAAAACCCCTGAGAAGTCATCAGCTCCAAAATTGTTTACTAAAAGGAGTAGGGGGGGGACATTCTTCTAGACTGTCCTTGCCAATCTGAAAGAAATACTATACTCTTTCCGTACCCTATCTCTTAGTACACAACAGAAAGGGGTTTGACTCGCAGTGAGGGTAAATGCAGGAAAAAAACATTCAGCTGCCTACGCCTAAAACCAGGAATGCCCTGAATGAACTCCTGAGAGCTGAGACGACCAACCTGAAATCTGGAAGGTGAAAAAAGAGCATATGAGAAGAAATTTTGCCTGTGAAAACATCTTGGCACTTCCCCAAAATACTTCCTATTTAAGGATACACATTATGTGAACTTTTTGTAAGTGGTTTAATCAGTGTCCACAAACAAAACAAACAAATGTCTTTCAACAAACATGATCCCGTAAGATCCTATATTGTTATCAATGCCAGTAGTGCACGCAGCAGAAACTGAACTAGGGACCAGAGACTTCTGGCCTTACACCACCCAAATTCACATGTGCAAAGCAGCTAAAATTCACCAGGTCTCATGATCTAGTAACCATTAAGAAGTTACAGGGCATTCTCAAACACCCAAAACCTCCTGAGGCTTTAGTATATATACACACACTTTGCATTTCATAAATACACTAGAGCTTTGTCCTCAATGAAGTAAACATTTCCAATCATTGAGAGACACCTTTCTCTTTCAGGATGCATCAATATTAAAACTTAATGCAGAAGGAACAACAGACATACACAGGAAGAGATATAAAAGTCTTTTAACATAATCAGTACTTCAAAGCCATCTCGAAGGAAAAAAGAAAAAAAAAAAAAAAAAAAAAAAGGAGTACAATACTAAACTGTATAATGCTCCTGTGAATCACTGTCACCCGGAACACCACACTCCTGAAAGGCCATTTGCTTTTACCCTTAAGCTGCTAACGTTTGCACAATGTGTTCCTCATTCTCCTCGTGAATGATTCTTTATCTCTCACCACATTAAAAGACTTCAGATGTCATTTTATACTAATAAATTATTTGCTCTTTTCGGTAGGCCTTGAGGCTTTTTTATTTTAATAATCTACCTATGGAGACTAGATGGCACACAATCACTTCAGAAACCCACATGGTACATCCAAATGAGATTTAATCTTTCACAAATGTCCATTCTAGCATCTCATGATGTGAAGTGGACTTTCACTTGGTTGCCTAAAGTGCAATCCACAGAATCCTAAACTGCCATCCACGATTTTGATAATCTTCTTATACTTTATGAACAAACTGTGTCATGTTACTTCTCCTCTTATGAGGAAAAATGAGAATGTTCATGTTATCTGTTTATTCTAAACAAGGGCTTAACTTTTATTCCAACTTATCTCTAATACCAGGCTTCATTTATTTCACATGCTCTTTTACAGCATGATGCTTTGTAAAGTCATAAAAAAATTTTTCATCCAAAGCAATTTATATCTCAACAGAATAATCATAATGTCCGAGTAACATATTGACTTTTAAAAAATAAAAATAACATTGTGACAGTATCTGAACTAACCAGTTTTAGAAAAAGCAGCAAACATTTCTGCTTTAATCACAGAAACAAAACCAACACAGATAATGTGCGGAATAGTTCTTTGTACAAGGACAAAAGGTATTTCTAAAGCTACAACAAAGTACAATCTTTATTTGTGAGTAAAGAGTTCAGTCTTTAGTCATCTTAGCAACTGTAGCTGAGAGGCATATTTTCTCTGGGAATAATAGTCATATTCTTCTGTATGAGCTAATTAACATGAGTTCAGCCCTCCTGACTCAAAGGCAGTTTGTAATTTGACATAAGCTGGCAGCCAAATTAGCAGGCTGAAAGAAACCCCAAGTCTCCAGGCTAAGAGGTTGCCACCCCATCTTCAGTAAGACTTCACCTCACATTATTTGTCATTTGTTAGCTACTGCATAGTAAGAACAAACACTTTCCTAGTTAAGACAGGGCCTCAGTGTCATGTCTACACACATGAATACCCACCAAGCCGAAGTTAACATGTAAAGTTTTTGGGAGCTTTATTTTGAGCCTAGACAAGTTAATAACATTTTAATTTTCGATACCTTATCACTTCTACAAAACAATTACAGAAAGGCTGAGCAATGGTCAGTAATATCAAAACAGCACTACTTAAAAGAAATTTCTAAGCCATCTCATGCCTCTCCAAAGAGCTCAGCCCCTGTCTCTGATATCACTTCCTAATGTAAATACCATGGGTATGAAACTAAACCATTTGAAAAAAAAATTAAGTATAACTGTAACCAGAAACAGCTAAATATTACCTCCTTTTTTTACCTCGCTCCATCTAAATTGATGCCGTCTCACAACAGAAAAGACAGAATCAAACCCCTCCCTCTGGATCAGATCTGCCACTTTTATAAGATCACTGGGATGTAAACAGGGAGATGTTGCTTGAATATTTCCTACAATATCAACCTCTAAAGAAAAACAGAGAAACATTTGTGAAACAATTTGCATTTTTAATACACACCACTGCAAAGTGTCATACAAGCGGATGCCACAAAAAAACCCCGAAAATCTTTTTAGCTTTTAATTACTAAAGGCTTTACTTATTTTTCTAAATAATAAGTGCATCATCCCTCTGGGGCTACAACATAAACGTTCAGCATATTTCATTACTGATTTACCATGATGATGATGAAGAAATTCTTTGATAGCTTCTAAAGAAGTTGAGGAGTCTTGAGAAACTTCAGGGCTTCTGCGATGAACTTGAGCGCCAAACTGCTTTGCAACCTTCTCAATTTCATCATGGTCTGTAGAAACCCATATGCTGCTCGTAGACAGTGACAGAAATTAATATGAAGAATAAATCTCAGCATTGCTGACTTGCCTGCCATAACCTAACCTGAACAACACCCTGGCTTATGTATGCACTACACCCTGCAATGAGAGGAACTAGTTCTTATGTTCCCATTAGTAAAACTATCCCTGTCAGTCCAACAAGCAACTTTTAACAATAGGGATAAAACACACACATTCACTAGATTGTAAAATCTCAAGCTTGGGTTGCATTTCAGTTTAATACTGTAGGGTGCTTGATCTACTTTCCATGTAGGAAGCTTAAGCAACATAAAATTCAGAAGTGTTACCAGAAAAATCCAGTGTCAGCACATCACAGTTTATTAGGCATGCTAACAGACCAATGAATTGTGAATGGGTTGAATGAGGCATTCAAAATCATTTAAGAGTTCAGAAACAAGACTGACAACAAGTAAAACTGCCGCACAGTTAAAAGATTAGCTTATTCTGCAAGTGTTTTAAAATGTGTTAATTAGGCTCCATACAGTCCCAAGGAAAGAGCTGTTCCTAGTTACAATCACATATGTTTTGGCACAGAAAACCTTCAATACTGGTAAAGCAAGATTGTGATTGTTCAGGGATAATAAACACAAAAGAAAGGGCTAAGTCTGAATGTTATGTGATGATAAACACTGACTAAGCATTGTGAGGCCGTTGCTGCCATCATTGTGACAAAAAAAGCATGTGAGATATAAAAACAAAAACTATGAAAAATAACCCTTCTTCCTCAGTAACACTGCCATTCTCAATGCACTGTACATAGCAAATGGTGCTTTAGTTAAGTTTTTTCATCCAAAGACATCATGGGATCATCAGAATAAAAATATGTATGACAGCGACAGCAACATCAAGTCACACCCACGTGAACAAATGCCAAAGAGGTATTTTCCATAAACTGCTTCAGGCTGGTTAGCTTAAATATACACTCCCCATTCAACTAACAGAGTTTTGTTGTGTAATGTGTACCCTGTCAGCACAGCTGTTTCAAAGGTGACTAGAAAACCTAGCATACTTCCATCTAATGCACCTGTTATGCCTCAAAGTTAGGCTACATAATCCTAACTGGCTTCCTGTTGTGCAAATGCAGATGCCAGAAACAAAATGAGGAGGTTGCTCAAACCACCATGTCCACCACAGGTCATGAAGCAATATGGATTCACATGCATTAAGTAATTGTCAGTAATCTAGGTAAGAAACACTTCTGACTGCTTCTTTACTAAAAATAAAACCACGTCAGCGATGCTTTCTCCACTTTTCAGATACAGGGAAAAAGATTTTCCAGAATAGATAATGGTACAGCAGCTATGAGTTACAGAAGATTCACGCTTACTTCCACCTCTGAATCTAGCTGGGCTACATTTCCACTTGACTACATCAAGTCCCTGCTCTGAATATAATACAGTAGGTTTGCACTGGGAACCTGCACCTAGGTATGGCACATACCAAGTGCATCCTAACCACGCAATGGTTTTAATTAAGTTTATCAGTGCGTGTGTGGAAAATGCTCAGTTTTGCTCTGGCAGAAAAAAAAGAAATTTGTAATGCCCATATTCTTAACACAAACACATTTGTTTCCATTTAGCTCTAATTATCGCTACCAAAGTTTTGTGCACTGTGCCACGAACTGAGCTTCTGTTCTGTGTCACATGGGCACACGCGATTCTTTCCTTCCATTTGACAGTTACGAGACTGCCTCCCCACGTGCTGTGTCCAGCTATGGGCTCCTCGATACAAGAAAGAAAAACTGGAGCAAGCCCAGCACAGAGCCAGCACAATGGCTGGGAACTGGGAGCACACGCGTGCCAGGAGACGCTGAAAGAGCCATCTTGATTCAGTCTTAGGAAGAGGAGGCAAGAGGGCGACTTTACTGCTGTCTTCAAGCACCTGGTGGGCAGGTAGAGAGAAAACAGAGAAACTTTTCCCAGATGAGCGCAGTAAGAGGACACAGACACATACCACAAGAACCTAAGTGCCAATTAGAAAAATCACAAAACAGTTTTTCAACCACGAGGGCGATCAGTCACTGGAACCAGCGCCCGGAAAGGCTGTGGGGTGGTTTCCATCCTTGGAGATACCCAAGCTCAGCTGCCTGCGGTCCCGATCAAGCCTCACCAGCCCAGATTTGCGCCGTGGGGGGGACCAGATGACCACCAGCCCGAGTCACCCTGTGATGCACTGCAGATCACCTCCTGCAGCCTGGCGGTTTCACTTAATGCAGCCACCTTTTACTTAATTAAGTAAAAATGTCAACGCTTACTGGCAAACGCCACCAACTAGTGGCTCCCAACCACGAATCGGAAGAACTTTTATTTCAAACTGCCGTAAGACTTTGATTCCTTCCCTCCTCCGCGGCTCACCCTCTCCCCGAAGGGGGAGCGGAGCCACGGGTGGGCGCCGCCTGCCCGGCCCCACGCCCGGCCCTGCTCCACAGCCTGGTGCCACGTTAACCGCACCCCCTCGCCTTCAGCGAGGCTCTCCTACTACACCCCCCGCCTCATTCGCGACCCCGAAGGAGCGGTTTCAGCGAGGCCACCGGGCGGCCCCGGGGGAGACCAGCCGCCCCGCTGTACTTCAGCCGGGACTCCGGCGCCAGGCCTCGGAGCCCGTCACGGAGACGCCGGCTGGGAAGGGAGGGCCGCCCCGG